AGGGGAAATTAGAATATATATGAATAAAAAGTTTTTGTGAAATTGTAGAATAAAGAGAAAAAAGAAAGGGACATTTTGTATTTCATATTGTTCATTTCACATATCTGACATGCAGTAAATATTTACCTATTGATGATATCATTTTGGCTTATTTAATCCAAGACTGAAATACACTAATGTAAATTAAGTATTCAGTACTTAGTTCCAATTATATGTGCTCACTTTTTCTATAAGTGGGGATAAAAAGCTAATACCACAGCATACAGTATCTAATGTGTAGCATACATTTACTTTTTGGAAGACAAAAAATTAGATAGATTCCAAAATAATAAAAATGTGCATAGGGAATTATATGCATGGTATGAAACATGCTCAAAAACGTTTGGAAATAACAATTCAAACAATTTGATAAACCAGGGAACAAATTATGCATGAGAGAGTTATCAATGAAAATCAGCACCAGTGACAGATTTGGGGGGAATAAAGAGAGAGATGCAGCATAAAGAAAGAGAGAGCCTGTTTATATAATTTCAATGTCCTGGGCATATATTCAGAAACAAATTCACTTGAAAAGATGCATAAATCCATAGTTCATAACAGCACTTTTACAATAGCCAAGACATGGAAGCAACCTAGATGCCCATCAACAGAGGAATGGATAAAGATGTGGTACATATATACAATGGAATATCTATTGTTGTGTCTGACTCTTTGGGACCCCGTGGACGTAGCTAATCAGGCTCCTCTGTCCATGGGATTTTTTCAGGCAAGAATACTGCAGTGGGTTTCCATTTCCTCCTCCAAGGGATCTTCCTGACCCAGGGATCAAACCCAGAATTAGCTGGCAGATTCTTTACCCCTGAGCCACCAGGGAAGCCCTTACAATGGAATAATATTCAAGCATAAAAAGAATGAAATAATATCATTTGTAGAACATGGATGGACTTAGAGATCATATTAAGTGAAGTAAGCCAGACAGAAAGATAAATATCTTATGATATCACTTATATGTGGATCTAAAAAACAATGATACTAATGAATTTATTTATAAAACAGAAAGAGAGTCACAGACCATACAAAACAAACTTATGGTTACTAAAAGGGAAAAGGCTGGGGGAGGGATAAATCAGGATTTGGGGAATAACAGATATACACCATTTCATATAAAATAGATAAGCAACAAGGTCCTACTGTACAGCACAGGAAACTATACTCAGAATTTTATAAAAATCTATAGTGGAAAAATATCTGAGAAATATATTACATATATATGTAACTCTTTCATTGTTTCATATATATGAAGCAGAATTACTTCATACACTGGAAACTAACACAACATTGTAAAACAACTATACATCAATTAAAAAAAAGAAAACATCAATTAGTCCTATCTATTTCACTAATTTTAGACTGAGGGTAAAAATCAGCCATGTTTTTTAAAATCCGTTCTAGAGAACTTGGAGTATGTTTGGAAAAGTTAGAAGACATAAAACTGTTTATGAGGCTACCAGCTGTGTCGAAGATTTCCTCAGGACATATCTTTCATAAACCCTTAATTTTAAGCAAAGTGCATACTATTAAAATCATTTCTCCTAACACTTAGGATCACTGAAATAATGTATGTCTATTACTTCTTGATACACTAACTTGTCTTTTCATATTTATATTTTGAATGTGTTCTAATTAAACTCTTCCTGAATTCAAAAACCCATTAGAGTGCTTTTATTTTAAAATCTAAGAGGAGAGTTTACTCAGCACGTATTACTTTGAATTCTAATGCCTGTATAGCCACTGATCCTTCAACTAATGGTGACAAATATTCTGTCTAATAGAATAAAGTCAACAACTTTTTAATATTAAGATGATTTAAAAGTGCTTAAAAGTTACTGATGATTAAGATTTTAGACCATGGTGATTCTCAGCACCCAAATTAATTTTGGTATCTATTTTTAACATCAATGTTTTCTTAAGAATTATTATCTTTTGGATGATTTAACGTGGTAAGCAGCAAATTTCATTTAAGAAGTTCAAGCCTAAAATGACACAAGCATATAATTAATTTCTCTACAAATGTCTCTAAATGAAGTCACTTGTTTTAATACAGATATGTGTAGTAAGAAAGTTACAGGGCAAGTACAAGGCACATGATGAATGTAGTCATGAAAAAAAAACAATTTTTAATTTAGTAGACCCTATCAATCTAGAAAGCCTATGAATATTTACTAATAATTCAGTATGATGAAAAATAGAAGAGATGAGATACATACAAAAGATGAGCATCATATAATAAAACTCTTACTACAAGAGTATCAGTGTCTATTACAATGTCCATGACCCCATAATTACATTTGAAATTAAGAATTTAATGGTAGCTTCACATCCCTGGGGCAAATATTAAAATAAAATGTACTTTTTAAAATAAAATATGCATTCAGATATTGAAAGACTGCTGGGTTATGATCAAGGTCTTTATTCTGAGAGCAAAACAATTTAAAAACTTAACATGTGATAAGATTATAGAGATATAGAAAAAGTTTTCATGTATATTCATAGCCAGAATATGCTGTTTCATACACATGTATGTTCTAAGGGTTCCGTAATTTCACCTTTTGCCTTTCATCTTCACAGTTATTTTAACTTACCTTCACCATCTCTTAGAATCTTTGAGCAATTCAGCTCAGATAAACATGCATTCACATAACAGGCTGTCTAGTCCTTTTCAAGCAAATGCAGGATACACATGACTCCTCGGAATTTACAATGTAGTACTGGAAGCAGACCAATGAAAAAAGAATTTCCAAATAACAAGGCAACTGCTGTAATGAAAATTTAAGGGACAGGCACACAGGAAAATCCACAGTAGGATCCCTATAAAAATCTAGTTTGGTATCTCAGGAAAGGCTCTATAATGGCAAAATTATAATAACAAATAGATGATAGGTATATAGACAGATAATGAACAGATAGGCAGATACAACTCATGAATCCTGAAAAAAGAAACCATTTCAAAAAAGTGTAGTTCAACTCAACTTGAAACATGAGATTTGAAGAAAGCTCCCCACCAAAAATTCCAGTGGGACTCATTGTTTCAGTCACATGGTTGATCATGCCTTTAGTGGTCTCTTACCTACCACCTCTGAGCTTTTATATTTCACCCCTATACTTGCTTCACCAAGATTCTGCAAGAGAATTAATCACTAATATACTGATATCCACTGTATACTATAAAACATCTCTCATGCATTTTAAGTGAAACTAGCTATGTAGCATCTATGAGAAAACCGAGAAAAGAGTCACTAGAAACTTTTTCTATAGGGTTTCATTCTATCGCAAGACATTAGTGGATAATGGCCGCTTAACCCTAGTAATGGATTTTTATATTTAAACATTCTTACTTAAATCCCCTATGAAAAATTTATTACTGTAGATTTTTAAAAATCATTTTCTCATTAAATATAAAAACACATTTCAAAATATACATAATGCATTCTATATAACATTTTTCTTCATTGTTGAAGAAGAACTCACAGAAAGATTAGAATTAGACATTTAGAGACAATCTGACCCGCTTATGTACTTGCATATATTCCACTCAGCTTAGTGATGATACTTGGTAATGAATTTTAAAATTAATAATTAGAAATTGTCTTAATGTTGCTCTCAATAATGCCTACATTTTGACATATTAGAACCTAGCAAAGATTATCATTTTATTGTTAATTGCATAATACAAATAATTTAATTTATGTAAATATTGTTTTCTTTCTCCCTGACGTTTCAGGTGAACTGTATTCATGTTGAAAAGAAAAACATGGTTGTGTAAGCATTTTTACTTTTGGTGGATAATTATTTTTGAGGAAAAAAGGTTTCCGACCTTAACTTAATCTTTCTGTAAATGTTTCTTTCTGCTATTTAAATGTCCAATTGTGCTCATTTTCCTTTTTGAGATCCAATTAATTGTGCCTTTTGAGTAATACATTCTTTCCAAAGAAATAATCCATTCCATAACACTGATGATTTGATATTCATATCAAAAAAGATATCAAAGTATACAATCTATGTTATTATTAAAATTTGAAAGTACTAAATTAAGATGATAAAGATATGGCAAGGCTCCAATTGTCCTAATTTACATTTACCATTTGAAAACATGAATTGGCATCCAACAGCATACATTTTCAACTTGCATGTTAAAATAATATTTCAATTCTTCATGAAAGTATTTCATGTTTGCCTATGGAAACAAGTTACACTGGTAGAAATCAAATATAAATAGAAAATGTTCATAGCTTTGCACTATCTGGGTTTATTTGTTGCATGCAATTTAGAAGTAACTACTAGTACACTGGAAAAGACCTTGATGCTGGGAAATAATGATGGCAGGAGGAGAAGAGGCCGAAAGAAGATGATATGGTTAGATGGCATCACCGACTCAATGGACATGAACTTGGGCAAACTCTGGGGGATAGAGAGGCCTGGCCCGCTGCAGTCCAAGGGGTCACAAAGAGTCAGATACAACTTAGTGACTGAACAACAACAATACTAGTACATTGGTTGATAATCTTCACTATATTTCTTGATTGACCAAATGACTCTCTCTTTGATTCCAAAAAACACCCATAGTAATCCTTTGTATATTGTCCTTGCTCTAATATGCTAAGTAAAAGGACAATAGACCGTGAAGGCATGGAGGAAGACAAACTATAGACCTTTAGGAATTGAGAGATAATAATTAAAACAAAAAAATTCTCCTTTTCTAAATGTACTTGGAAATAAATGAACACTTACCTGTTATTTAAGAGAATCATAGCAGGTCTTCATTCATATTTCTTTTTTTATTGTTGTTTAGTAGACTTAATTTTTACTTAATTTTAATATTGTAGTCTTTTAAAATGTTTATATACCATCTTCTAATGTAATTTAGAAATATACTTTATTCTGTGATTAAAACCTAGTTCATATGTTAAGCAGGAAAAACAGACCTCATAATCATATATTACCTTTTTCAATATGCATCCTTTTTGACTCATGTCCCATGTCATGACCAGCCAAATCTCCCTCTTTGGGCCCAGGGAGTACGTTTGGTGATAAACCCATCAGCATCTGGTTCATGGACAACCCATTCTGATGGACAGCTGTCAAGCCCAAAACAAAAGATAAAAGAATAAAACACCATAATACACAATATTCAAATAACCTATTTAAACTCTTTTGGAATCAGAAATAAATAAAACATCGTGGTATAACTTTAAAATTATAATCTATCTCTATGTTGAACACCATGAGGACTGATAACTATGATAATTCTTAAGAACGAGCAGAAATATATTGAAAATGAAACTATTTTATCCTCTATTTATCTCATAAAACAGGTATATTTTTTAATGTCTAGAATACTTTTCAGTGGTCATAACACTATAACCATTACCAATGAACTCTTCAGGCTTTATCTAATGTAACATATCCTCTCCTGAGCATATAACCTTCTGTAACTGCAAAAACTACAGTCTTAAAGCTAGAACACTCTAAGACTATAAAGTTAAAATATAATTTACAATAGTTTTAGTGGCATGAGAGGGTAAATAGAGTTTTCAGCAAGTTAAGTCACTGAAATAGCACTGAGATTCAATATTCATATTCTATTCTAGTCAATGGGCTTCCCCAGTCACTCAGAGGTAAAGAATCTGCCTGCAATGAAGAAGACGCAAGAGACATGGGTTTGATCCCTGGATTGGGAAGATTCCCTGGAGGAGGAAGTGGCCACCCATTGCAGTTTTCATGGACAGAGTATCCTGCAGGTCTGCAGTCCATGGGGTCACAAGGTGTTGGAAATGACGGAAGTTACTGAGCATGCACACACACATCCTAGTAGACAAAACCCTAAGTTTAAGAGATAGCAAAGTACTTCTTTAAAATTTTGATTTTGAATTCAAATTTAAAAATAAGACTGTCCATTAATATCTATTAAATGGCTGAACGATTAAAAACAATAATTTCTTTCTTGAATTATTAGGAGTAACCTGTCACTACTGACATGATAAAGCAGGTGACCAAACACCCTTATGATCTCAATTCAGTCAATACATTTCTTAATAAATTGCCCATGAAAATCTTGGTTTTGTGAAAAATTTTGAAGAAAGTCATTCCATAAGACCTTATTTTCACTGAAAAAAACACATTTTAAAAATATGTAGAATAATTTGGAGAAGGGCATGGCAACCCAGTCCAGTATTCTTGCCTGGAGAATCCAATGGACAGAGGAGCCTGGCGAGCTACAGTCCATGGGTTTGCAGAGTCAGGCATGACTGAGCAATTAACAACAACCCACAACTTTACTCTTAATTTTCTTGATCATGAGGACAAGGATTAAATATCTGAAAATGTGATCACAAAATAAGGTATGAACCTACTTTTTAGAATTTTATAATAATAACATGTGAAGATAAAATGCATTATTGACTGTTACTAATTCAAATCCTAAAATTTGACCAATTTTAAACTATTTAATCTATTGATCATCTGAATGATTATGAAATGTGTTTTTTTAAAAACAGTTATTTTGAATCTATTTCTTTTATCCCTCTTTGTCAATGCAAGGATGAAGTTTAAACACTAGTAAATTTTTAAAAACTGGCAAGGATGGGATTGAAGGAATGAGAAATAATTCATACTCAGTATATTTGGACACTAGATATTTGAGAGTTGGAGGCGTTTACTTCAGAAACTAATCTAGAAGGTTACTTACTTTCTCTAACTGTTTCATAGCTCAAATCTTTATGTGTGGCATCAAAAAGAGGGAGTTTATATCAGAATTGTTAATGTAGTACCATACCTCATGCTATTGCAAACTGGGAAACATAATTTTGAGAAATGGCTTTGGCTACAGAGCTTCAGAAGATGATACATCTGAGATCTCTTCAGAATGAGGGCATTTTGATTAGAAAAGCCAGCTGCACCTAATAAAGTTTAAAATGGTGACAAGTGAAGAATGACACCTACGAATTCTGTCCGAGGAGCTCTCAGTCCGCGCTGGGGAGCTGGACACACTGCTGCTGCGGTGAGATGACGGGTGGCTGCCAGGCCTTCGGCCCTCCTCCAGGGAGGGGGCAGGTGACGGGCTGTCGGGGACACGCTCCTATACCGCCAGGGGAGGGTGGGGGGAAGGAAAGAGGTAAATACATTGGACCCTTGCTTAAGCAATGTTGGTTTTTCTTAATTCTACAGAAATGTGAAGACAACACATTTTTCCATCAACATTTAACTGGATTAAAAGACACATTTTATTTATTTTTAAAAAATTTTTTAAACTTTTATTTTGTATTGGGATATAGCTGAAGAGCAATGTTGTGATAGTTTCAGGTGAATAGCAAAAGGATTCAGCCATACATATACACGTATCCATCCTTCTCCAAATCCCCCTCTCATTCAGGCTGCCACATCACAGTGAGCAGAGTTCCATGTGCTATACAGTAGGTTCTGGTTGGTTATCCTTTCTAAACATAGCAAGCAGTGTGTATATGTTCATCCCAGACTACCTATCTTTTCCTTCCTCCCCACCAACAACCATAAGTCTAAGTAAGAAAAGAATAGAAAGGAAATAGGTGAACACCACTGTAGTAATGACAAATGGTAATCCCCTCTTTGGATAAAAATAGAGGTCAAAAAAAACATCCAGTTTAGAACCATTAGACAACAAAGAATTAACAGAACAAAGCAAGTTTTAATTCTAGACAATTACCATTATAAAAAAACCTAATACATAGAGTCTATTGATTCAGCAAGTGTCTAGGATCATTTAACACACAAATTATCATAGTGACATCATCAAAATAATACCAGAGGAGCTGTTAACAGCTATTTCATTATGGGACTTCTCTGGATATACTTGGGCAGTCACATTTTAAGGGACCAGGGAAATCTATTATTATTTAACCTTTGAATAATTTTGATTCTGGTAATTTCCAGACTCCGAGCTTCAATGCAACCCACAAATATATTAGTGAAAATTCATGAATAATGTATTAGGTGTATCCCAGGGAAACATGGTATCATATTTCCTGATCCTGTCCTACATTCACACTCAGGTCCCACTCCATATCTCACCCAAGCCCTACACCTTCCCAATGAGACCAATGTGCAAATATTGGGTTGGCCAAAAAGTTCATTCTGGTTTTCTGATTTTTTTTTTTTTTCGTTGCATCTTACTGAAAAATCCAAATGAACACGAACTTTTTGTCCAACCCAATCTGTTGTATAACTGTCTCCAATGAACTATTATAAATGGATTTACAGATTAATAAATAAAATACTCATTGTTAATATTTGCTTCTTTGAGCAAAGAGATATTTACACCTTCAGAAATTTACATACTCTCCTTGAAGAACACTTTTCAATAATTCATAAATATTTGGAAGTCTACAAGTCATAGATACATAATAAATAATAAGCAAATTATTCCTGATTAGAGTGAAAAAATGCAAATATGAAATAAAAGCAGACTGTTTGAAATCAAAAAAAGTTCTAGAATGAAATCATCCTATAGGAGGCTATTTTCAAAATATCAAAGGCTAATGTAATATAGAAAACAGACAAGCTTAAGGCTTTGTACTAACAGAGAAAGAGTAATGCTTGTCTTCAATCTCAAAAGTTCATTTAGTCCAGTGATGGTTTGCAATTCTACTTTCCATTAGAATCACCTGGGAAGTTCCTCAACATTCCCACGCCTGGGCTTTACTCCCTGAGATTCTGGCTTACATGAGTTGAATTGTGTCCCCTCATAATGACTGAAGTCCTGACCTATGGATACTTATGAATGCAAGCATTTGGAAAAAGGGTCTTTGCAGATTAAATTAATTGCAATGAGGCCATACTAAAATAGCATGGCTTCTCCATCACACATGACTGATGTCTTCACAAGAGGACATTGTGAAGATATGGGGAAAATGTGAAAAAGAGAAAAACTGCGAAGGAAGGAAAAACATCATGTGAAGATGAGGTAGAGATCTGACCTCTGCAGCTGCAAACCAAAGATTGCCAAAGCTCCCTATCCACCATCAGGATCTTTGGAGATCAAGGAAGGATTCTACCCAGAATCTCAGAGGAAGCATGGTACTGCTGACACCTTGCTTTCAGACTTCTAGACTCCAGAAATATGAGGGTATAAATTTGTCCTTTTAGGCCACCTGGTATGTGCATTTACCCTGTGTCTGCTGTGGGGCCCAGAAACCAATATTTTTTAAGGCTCTCCAGGTTATATTAACATATATTCAAGATTGAGCATCACTTGTCTCATATGCTTTTAATTTTTCAATCCTATACATTGTCAGTAATCTTCAACAGTTACATTAAGGCTTCATTCTTGAGGATCATACAAATAAGAAGAAAATAACCCTCAAAAATAGCCAAGCCCTCTTCCAAAATCTAAACATAAAACTGTTTCTCAGTATGTATTCTGTAGAAGAAGAAATGGTCACACAATAAACTTTACAGCAAAGAATTTGCCAGGTCAAAGAATATCATAACAAAAGAAAAGGAAAAAAAGGAAAAAAAAAAAGTCAACTAAAGTCTACTCTTTATAGTTAGTTGCAATGCATATTTTAAAAATCTATGTCTCAACATGAAAAAGGAATACAATTATCAGTTTTTTTGCTCCAAAGTAAATAAATCAAACAAGTTATGCTTCTAAGTAGTCTAAATTCTATAGGTCTATAGACAAATGACCTAAATTTCTAAGAAAAAGCACATATATGATTTAAAAGAATGGAGAACCCACATCTGGATGCTAAAAGTTACTGCCCTTCTTCTAATTATAATTTAAAAGCAACTGGGATTATAAATCTTTCTTCTTAACATTCACCTTTAAGTTAAACTTAAAACAGCTTCAAACTATGAACTTATTATGTGTTCAGTCTGATGAGTTTTGTCAAGCCCTCGACAATTTCCATAACTGAGAAAGACTCCCAAGCCCCTTTCCAACCTATTTCTCCCATCCCCATAAGCAACTGCTTTCTGAGTTCTATCACCAGGAAGTAGTTTGGCTGGTTCTAGATTTCACAAAAATTAGCTCATATAGTACCTAATTTTTCATGTCTGCCTCTTTCACACAAAAACATGTTTCTTAGATTCATTCAGGTTGTTGCATGTATTAATAGTTTATCTTTTTTCTTTCTGAATATATTCATTTGCACACAATGCTCAAAATTCTCCAAGCCATGTTTCAACAATACATGAGCCATGAACTACCAGATGTTCAAGCTGGATTTGGAAAAAGGCAGAGGAACCAGAGATCAAACTGCCAACATCCATTGGATAATGGAAAAATCAGGAGAGTTCCATAAAAACATCTACTTCTGTTTTATTGACTATGCCAAAGCCTTTGAGTGTGTGGATCACGACAAACTGTGGAAAATTCTTTAAGTGATAGGAATATCAGATCATCTTACCTGCCTCCTGAGAAATCCGTATGCAGGTCAAGAAGGAATATTTAGAGCCAGACATGGAACAAGAGACTGGTTCCAAATTGGGAAAGGAGTATGTCAAGTCTGTATGTTGTCACTACACTTTTTTAACTTATATGCAGAGTACACCATGAGAAACACTGGACTGGATGAAGCACAAGCTGGAATCAAGATTGCCAGGAGAAATACCAATAACTTCAGATTGTAGATGACACCATTCTTAGGACAGAAAGTGAAGAGGAACTAACGAGCTTCTTGATGAAAATGAAAGAGAAGAGTGAAAAAGCAGGCTTAAAACTCAACATTCAAAAAACGAAGATCGTGGCATCTGATCGCATCACTTCATGGCAAATAGATGGGGAGACAATGGAAACAGTGACTTAATATTTTGGGCCTCCAAAATCACTGCAGATGGTGACTGCAGCTATGAAATTAAAAGACACTTGCTCCTTGGAAGAAAAGCTATGACAAACCTAGACAACATATTCAAAAGCAGAGACATTACTTTGCCAACAAAGGTCTGAATAGTCAAGGCTATCGTTTTCCAGCAGTCATGTATGGATGTGAGAGTGGAACCATAAAGAAGACTGAGCACGAAATCGTTGATACTTTTGAACTGTGGTGTTGGAGAAGACTCAAGAGTCCCTTGGACTGCAAAGAGATCCAACTAGTCAATCTTAAAGGAAATCAACCCTGAATATTCATTGGAAGGACTGATGCTGAAGCTGAAGCTCCAATACTTGGGCCACCTGATAGGAAGAACTGACTCACTGGAAAGACCCTCATACTGGGAAAGATTGAAGACAGGAGAACAAGGGGATGACAGAGGATGAGATGGTTGGATGTCATCACCAACTCAATGGACATGAGTTTGAGCAAGCTCCAGGAGTTGGTGATGGACAGGGAAGCCTGGCGTGTCGCAGTCCATGGGATTGCAAAGAGTTGGACAGGACTGAGTGACTGAACTGAACTGAACCACAATTTTTAATTTAAAAAAGGCAATAAAGTTCATATCAAGTCTCTGAAATCACAAATCAAAGGGTAACTTGGCTTCTGTGTAGTACTCAAAGGCTGGAGTTTGTGTCATTTTTGTAGTATCTGTGCATTTATTATAAAGTATGGATTTATAAAACTGTATAGAACACCTTTTTAGTCTGTATAAATGTCTATATAAATAATCCATGCTGTAGTTAATTGCACACATGACCAGATACACACTATATAGACTCTAACCTTGATTTCTCTAATAAAGAGGGAGCTAAGTTTGTCTAAGTTTTAAGCTTATTTCTACTACATCTAAATCTTAACAATTAGATAATGCACAAATACATAGTCTATATTAAACAAAGAGCATTACTACATTTTTATACAAATAACATTTTTTAAATTAGCCATTCTATTTTATTCAAAGGTTCACTCACGTCAATGTTTATCCATCCAAACATTTTAATAGTCCTTCTAATAATTATGTAACTGATCATATTTTCAGTGGCATGTGTTTGGCCAAACAGAGGTAAAGTGCAATCTTGGAATAAATCAAACCCTTTAAAATCATTTTGCAAGTATGAGTTTTCTTGTCATAAGAGATTTCTCAGTGGCACTAATGGAAAGCATGAGAAGCTGATTTTTTTCCTGAGACATTTAGCTCATAAAGTACTAAAATATTTAATGCACAAAA